ACAGTAAAAGAGCCTTAGGCTCATCTCCTTGTGAAATGAAAAGCCCTTTGATGCAATTCCATGCACAGGTTTTTGGCACAAGTCATAAAGTGTTACCCTTTCAAACCTGGAAGGAGAGTAAGAGTGTTCTATCCCAACCCCTGTTGAGGCTGCTTGAGACTTTCCCCGGATACAAACATACACAAAGTAACACAAAAATCAGATCTGATGGGTAAATTGAATGGATCGGTGTTTGGGCATTTCTGAAGGGTAACTGGAACCTAAACACGGGGATTCGCAAAAAATGCTCTTCCTGTTGCAGAAGGATTATTTCAATACTGTATAACCTGGTCTGTCTTGAGGCAGTGACGTTAACTGGGGACAAGGATCCGATCTGCCAAAAATGAAAATGTTGAGGGTGTTTTTGTAGAAAGTGTTGAATCTGTTCCTAATCAGGGTTGCAGGACTGAGTTCTGTAGACAGGTAAGCAGACAGTATACAGTGAGGGACTATGACTATTGACTGTTGACTCTGGGCTGGCTGTTTAATTTTCCTAACGGATCACATGGCAGATTTAATCATGATCCTTCGTGGAGTTGCTGGTAAATTAAATGAGATGCAAACCTGGATGTGTATTTACATCTGTGACATCACTGGATTGTTATACAGCATGAATCTCTGTCTTTTATGTATTTCTAATTACCCCTGGAGCCGATACCCTGGAATGTAATGATGATATAGGGCTGAAAAGTCAAAAGAAAAAGAAGAGTGAAAAACGTTGAGGAAGACCTCTGCCTGGTGCTGCTGTGAGTTACAGAGAAGATTCCTTGGTGCTTGCAGGGCTTTGCAAAACTCCTGATGGCTTTTCCAGCCACGCTGAGATCAGACATTGTGCTCCATCTCCTTCTTTGCATCTTTGTATGGAATCCTCAAAAACAGTGCGTACCAACTATTAATAGCCATAACCCGGTTTATTAATGTTCACAGGCTGTAATCCTGGGGGACTGTCAAACAGGGTCAGGAAGCACTGTCTGAGAATGGGCTTTGGTGTGCGTCTTCTCCGTGAAATTGCCACTAATTCCAGTCTGAGCAGCCTTTGCAGTTTTTAGTCAGGATATAGGTCAGATAAAACACCACAGAAACAAAAAATAGTTAAGGATGTTTCCCATGCCGGGAAAATTTACAGGCTGGGAAAGTACGGAACATTCATAAGAACGTACAGTAAGAAAGTTTTAAAAGTAAAGGAAGCCAATCACTCCACCTAGCCTGTTTGGTCAAATATTGTCCCTGTCTGATTCAGGTGACTTCTGGTTCTGTGTAATGATGTTCATATATTGCTGCCAAAACAGGCTACAGTTCATGCTCAGGTCCTGGAGGTCTGCTTGCTCTTTATTGTTGCCTAAACTCCCACTTGCTCTAGTTTTTCAAATAACTAGATTAAACACAGATCTGGGTCAGTTTTAAGATGCACCTGAATCAAGCATGTCTGTTATGTTACATTTTAGATGGACTTTTAATTATGTCTAGTTAAACACATAATTAGATCATTTAAGCTGATTGAGACCTAAATTTACTACTTAAAAGGGATTTATAATGTATCATATACTGTATTATTGTGTGAGGTCATTTAACTATTTACATGAGAGCTCAGCCAAAGCTAAGCTGAGAACTCAAGTCCGGGTCTGAACTGCTAAGAGACCAGAGGGAGTCTGGCAGAAGTGTGTTTCCTTTTCCAGCAGGGCGGCGCCCTGGAGCTACCAGAGAAGCATCCAGTTCTGCACCTGTTGTCCACCCGCAGCCCCAGGGTGTGTCTGTTGTAAACGCCCAGCTGGGAAAAGGCAGCTGCTTCAATGTGCACTGTGTCTCCCTGTGTGCCTCTGGAAACACAGCTAACCATGGGGGTGCTTGCTGGGCGTCCCTGTTTGACTTGATGCTTACTGCCTCTGGGGAAATCCTGGTATAATATTCCACGTCCGAACCAGCCATCTCCGTCTAGTGTTTGAGCTGCTCAGGACCTCCTAAACCTCTTTTGATTTCAGCCTGATCCCAAACCCTGAGGCCCCACACAGCTGTGCCATGGATCTGTTCCATAAAAGCCACGAGTGGCACGCAAGGGAATTCTGACTGGAATGAGCAAAGGAAGTCTAAATAATGGTGATCTTTTTGTCAGAAAAAGGCAAAAACCGTCTGCTAACTAGACAATGACGAACGCGTTAATGCAATTAATATTAATATTGGTGGCTGACATCACTGTGCATCTAAACAACCTCAGCCTCCATCTGCAGGGTGAATGCCCTGGGTATAAAAATATAAAATACAGTTTTTGTGAAACCTGCGATTTTTTATTTGGGACATTGACACCTTGACTACTGACAATTTGCAGCATCTTCCTGCCATCAAACCATCGCACGGCCAGTGTTGCCGAGTTGGAATTTATGGGTAAGATCTTGCAGTAGAATTTTCTGTAAGATTTTTGAGATTTCCGGTATTTTGGTCTCATGTTTTTCATTTCTTATCCAGACGGGCAACTTTGCTACCTGCGAGATGGAATTGATGGTTTTTCAGAAGATGGGTGCTGAGGATTTTGAAATGCGGCTCGTTGGATTACAGTGCTCTGGCTTGTGGACCTCAGTGTTTAGAGATCTGTGGTGCCCACTTGAGGCACTGGAGAAAGGTCACAGGTCTTTATCGTGACTGGTTGGAAGTCCCAGCCTGTGAAATCTGTTCAAAGAAAGTGGCTCTCTATAATTACCTCTAGTAACAGATATCTTCATGTGTGGAAGGCAGTTCTTTGTCCCTCCCAGTGCCAGTTAATGACAGAGCTCTCAGAGGCTTGTGTACTGCTTTCACTATCAAACTACGAGCCCGGGGCTGGAGAACTCAGCAGGGGGACGCAGAGGAAAGCAGGAGCAGGGCCACACTCAGCGGTAAGATTACATCTTTATTAAAGAAGCTGATAAAATTGAAGTAGGATTATTATCGATGGCAGGCAGGTTGAATAAGTTAATTCTTGTCCATAGCTGAAAGGCTGCCAGCCCCTGGTCTTTGCGTTAAGTCAGGGCAGTTAGTTTCGTTGTCCAAACTAGTAAACATTTCTCTTGCCAGTGCCTGTGCAAATCTCTACTAATGACAAATCTGCAGATGTTCTAAAAACTGTGACTTGGGGCTGTTACACGTGATTTTCCCCCAGCTGCAGGGTATTTGTTTAATTTTGATTAAAGGGAATAATATCAGTAGCCCAGTGTGTGTGGCTGTGGCCACACTCCGTCTCTTTCTGATTAAATCTGTCTGCAGCCTATATTACCCGGAACGAGGCAGGCACATTTAATCCACCTGCTGTGGCATGCTTGGTCTCTGTTGGAGGTCACTGGGAGATTAAGAAAATAACACAACCATCTGTCTTTTGATTGAGGGTACCGTCCAATAGCATCAACAACTTTATTTCTGAGTGTTGAACAGCTATACGCATATTTAAAAAAAAAAACTTTCAGGGATTTTTTTCAAGGTCTTATTAGTTCCAATTTTACCACTCAGTCATTTTAACTGCTTATGAATTTATATTTTTTTGGGCTAAACTAGACTTTTCTAGTTGTTGATAAAAGGAACCTCATCTCAAGATACAGCTGCTATAAAACTCTTCCAGAAATGTACATTTGTTTTTCCAGTGAAATACATAGACTAGTTAATGAAGGTGAATAGGATCTGGGTGGTACAAGACTGTGAAACACATCATACATAGACAGACAGGACTGTCCAATCGAGGGCCAGTGTTCAAATTTTCATTCAATCCATTACTTAAATCACATAATTACTGTATCAATTGGTCTGAGTCTTCAGGCTTGAATAGACCTGGCTATTCCATTGGACTTCACCCTGCCTGCCAGGAACCGTGGACCAGGGGAACAGAGATCTCTGTATCCTGCAGCAATCTCAAGAAAAAAAAAAAACGACCAGAAATGTGTTGAAATGGAGGATGGGAATTCACATGCAATTCACATGCATATTTCTGCTTGCAGGATTGTTTTTCGTGATCCTGAACCTTGTGTGAGTGGTGATAATGTATCTGCTCTCAAAACACTGATGTGATTGGAAGCTGATTGTAAATCAAATACTGTATGTGTGCAACCTTAAACGTAGTAAGTGAGGATTTAGACTTGAGATTATAGAAGATCACTTTATTAGCCACATACAGTTTCTTGCATTAGGAATTTGTCTTTTCGCAGACCCCAGCTTGCTCTCCATGAGACACACAGACGGGGGAGAGAAGCTTGGGGTCAGAGCGCAGGGTCTGCCATTGTACAGCACCCCTGAAGCAGCTGGGGTTAAGGGCCTTGCTCAGGGGCCCAACGGAGTAGGATTCCTCTGCTGGTCGTGGGATTTGAGCCGGCAACCTTCATCCCACAGGCACAGATCCTGAGCCACAGAGCCACCGCTCCGCCCCAGAGAGTAGAAATGATGGTGAAAGGCAGTGACATCATGCAGCTCTGCTTGACTGCTGGACTGTATTGTCTGGGTTAACAGTCTTGGGCTCCTTGAGATTGTTTCAAGATGTCCAGTAGGTTAGGGTGAAGAATACCATATCCAGGTCTCTTGAGGCACAAAGAGCTCGGAGAAGGTGTGAAAGTTTTGATACGCATGAATAAAATGGATATCAGTCTTTTATCTAAAAAATCTTCCATGAGACCGGAAACTGCCCACCTTCGTAACTGAGGGTGTGTTCAGGCGAGTACATGTGCTAACACCGTTCAGGCATTTGTGTTTTATTGACTCTTCCTTTCTTTCCTTCACCTGCTTGTTCTCTGTGCCACAGTGGCATGAGTCTGCTGAGGAGATCGCCACTGGAAATCAGAATGTACTCCGAACGGACTTGGCTGATTAAATAAAGGCCCATCACTACTAGTCCTGGCACAGTGAGAAGGTACAGTAGGTGTAATGACTAATTCCAGCTCTTGTTCTGTATCCTTACAAGAGCTTATCTTGAGAACGTGCACCTACCCATTAAACCAGACGGACACAGAGAGCTTCTTTTGCTTCTTTATTCTACAACACATTCAACATAAATTACAATCAGGACACACTTTGGATTATACAGAATATATTATATTTTTTATTATTTTTTAAACAAAGTACATCAGCCACACAAATGCCTCATTTTCAGCAGCAACATAACAAAATATTACAAAATAATTAAGTCCCTAGAGCAATCAATGGCAGAAGCTTTGAAATCAGTCCACATGGTTATTGGCCTCTCAGTTATGAAGAAAATGTGTCTCTGTATTGCGCCAGTTTTGCGTGTCATTTTGAGTGTGAGCTGTGGACTGTTACTGTTAAATCTCCTCACAGAATTAGGCAATATGTACATCTTGCTATATTGTATATTTGGTCATATTAAGTGGTAGCGCACAACCAATAGACATGGTTAATACACCATTTCGAAATACAAATTTCAGTCATTAAAAAGATTCCTGTGGAAAACATTTTTCCATTTCCTAAAGAACACTGGTAATTGTGGAGTGGCAGATGACTCATTTTGGCTGTACACATCCATTGGGCTAAATTTGGAAAAAAAAACTTAACTGTCTTTACATATGGTAGATATCAATTTGAAACATGGATATATGGGCTATAAATCAGTGCACATTTCTTTCGGGGGCCTGATCAACAAACCGAGTATTCTATATCCAATCTTATGATACTGCTGCTGAAAATCAACAATCTAGAGGTTAAGCACATTACAAGGTAAATAAATTACTATTTGTTGCTGTCCCATATGTCATTTGGTGGTCTTTCAGAAAAAAAACAAGATAATAGTATTGGTCTACAAGACCAATTTTGCTTGACCACAATCAAAACAAAATCAAATAATTAAGCCCTTTTGCACTGTCAAGTCACTAAATTATGAAGGAGATATGGCCGGGGGCCTGACCAATAATTAGTTGTAATGAGGGACAATTAAAGGGTGTTTGGATTTAGAATAAGACAACTTTCCATGTGCCATATCCACATTTATCTTTTAAGAAACCAACGTTTAAAAAGATCGTATTAATTAGCATGCAATATGGTTTAAACACTATCAAAGCTTTCATGTTTTTTGTAACAGCCAGCAAATTTGTAAAGTACACGTACTGTAGATGACCTCTGTCTAATAATTCAGTCTAGACTTTCTGCATCCTTCTTTAGAACTGTCATTAGCCCCTGTATTTGTCCTTTGTGAAGGAAACCATCCTAGACTATGGCATTACTAGAGAATGAAAAAATAAATCTAGCCTTTTACTAGTACTCCTGAAAATCGAAATAGAAAAATAACCAAGCATATTCAATCCTACAGCAGAGAGAAAGGCTCCTGGATAAGGGCACTGGTCAGTTTGGACCAGCAGGGTTTGACACTCATACAAACCCTGTGCTTGACCAGATCAGCTAGCTGGGCACCAAACCTGAACATGAAGAGCACGTTCTGGGTCATCATCAGTATATGACAGCATCCGTAGACCAAAGCCATTGTTTTCATAAGAGGATTGTTCCAGTACAACTGAATGAATGTGCATCAACAGCCACTGCAACAATGACCCCTTGCACTAAAGAAATGTTATGATATCAATTCAGATGAATGTCCAGGAGACATTGTCATTTCCATCAAAGAAATCAATGGCAGACTTGTGAAACAAACAAAATGTCACTGACCAGAACAGTACCTCAGTGCTAGATCCTTCGCCAGCAGGATTAAGGGTCAGTGGATCTGAGGAGCACTAATGCTTCAGTGAAAGAACAGGCAGTGCCTGCTCTCGCAAGGCTTTCAGAGAGGAAGAGGAGACACAGGAGTAACCCTTCCGGCTTTGCTAACACCCTCCCTGTTCCCCAAGCCAACGGCTAACCTGTTTTGACCTTTTCTTAACTACAACTCTGAACGCGACTTGGGATTAAAAGAGGAAAATTAAAAAAACGTACAACAGGACTACTTACACCAACGGCCAAATCTTTGGTCTTTTTTTTCCCCTAACGGATGAGCAAACGAAGGCTAGCCGGAGAATAAAAGGATGCTGGCACAACTGATACAGGTGGGGTAAATACTGAAAACAAGAACATAAAATGTATTTGGACACTGCACGTAAGAAAATATTTACATTGTTTCTCAGGAAAAAAAACAGCTTTACATCCATGTCTCAAATGCAAAAAAGTTCTACTGAGGTCCACACTCATCTTTAAGGGACAACCCCAACAGGCCAGGTTGTGATCGAAGACTTCTGACATCACATCTATGCTGCTGTCGGTGATGCAGTGTTGCTGTGGTAACACACGGTTTAATCACACAAGCTGCTGTCTTCATCCTTAAGGGTTTCACAGCACGTGAGTAAGCAAGAGCACAATGCTGGCTATCTAACGTTAAAAAAAACTTTAGCAAGATAGACCACCCTCTTCTCTCATATTTGCTTTCAGTTTCACAGAATGTGAATGAGGATATGAATTCACCTGCAGGAAGCCGGACCCAAGCTGTTGTAGTAAAGTAAGAGGGTGGTTTGGATCTGCAGAGATTGAAGGGGTGCTAACAAATAGAACTACAGGGGCCAGAGCAGCTCCATTGCAAGACCTGAACCAAGCCTCCTGCTGGTAATTAAAATGACCTTTTTTTGTAGGTAACCTGTGCAAAACTGTGCTGCTATTTTAATCCACCATCAGCCCCTCAAAGGGGTGGTGTGATTCCACTCAGCCTCCAGATGTTGGTGTTGGCCTGGAGCAGCAGGACCGGGCATAAGGGCACTGACTGAGACACAAACAGCGGGACACAGATGGTGTGTCAGGGGCAATGGTCTTTGCTGGGTCGAGCAAGCTCCTGTGTGGAGAATATGATAGACACAAAAGGTTGCTCAAAAACAATACTCGCAAAAATTCCCCAATTTAGGTAATTAGATGTAATCAAAAGTATCCAAAAAGCAAGTACTGTATGGTATTACTAAAATATTTACCTTTTAATTCTTCTTTATTAAATAAAATGCATTCGTTCCATGTTTCAAATCTGAACTATTTAAAAGGCTTTGGTAATCCCGCAATTAAACAACAGCTGATAAAAAATACCACCCCAGCCAAAACCTTCCTGTCAAGTGTAAGTCTTTGTCATTCATCAAAATGTGGCAATAAAGAATGGGACCTGCTGTCTCTGTTGTGTTAGGTTTTGCACTTGCTTTTGCAAAACCTGAATACAGGAGGAGTTATTCCTAATATAGTTCTTATTCTGGCTTTTGCTCTCCATCACAATACTATAGGAATGCATGATGTAATTTCCCCCTCCACTTTTAAAAATGTTTCTACAGATCTACTCTGTAGCATAAACCTTCGAGGTGTTTTAGTTTGGGGAAACTTAGATGGCAAAGCCTCACAATCTAATCTCCCAAAGCTAACTCTCTTGAACTGAAATATCAGCACTGGGCGCTAGACAGTGTTGTAGCAGGCACAGTGCGCGGATGACATACAAGAGGAAAGTGCTTCATAGGCCATGTGAGCAGAAGAGGATTTTAAAACATGCACTGCAAAGCTGTGTAGTTAGTCACAGGAAGGAGGAAGCTGTCCAGCCTGCTGCGATAAACTCTGGGCTGTCTCCTGATCCTGACATTTGCCACTGGCTGATGGGGATGAGGATGAGTCGGGACAAGGAGAAAGTCTTTAGTACTTATGAACATGGTTTTAATCCGAAAGCACTGGGGAGCGTGAATATGTAGTTTTATCAAAGCTTTCAATTTATATGGGACAAAGCAGAGGGTGATCTGATAGAAAGTGGGTTAAGATCATTTGAAGGGGATCTTGTCTGTACAAACAGCTGCACGAACATGCTGAGAAGGAGTGACAGTCTTCTCGCACTGTGACGCTCTGCATGGAGGAAAACAGACCCATGCTGCATCTGGAACGCTGGTGGATTAGCACAAACGCGCACAATAACAGGAACAAACACGCGCAAGGCAGGACAGAAAGTGGACAAGCCCCACACTCTCACGGTCGATGTGTTAACTGAACACTTTCCTGTACCATGACTGCCCACAGGGGGCTGAATAAGAAACTCTAAAATGACTGTGATTATACACGTTCCTCTTACAACAGCAAGTAGTGCACAGTGTCACTGACATGCTGCTGATGATCTCTCCTGACATTGTCAAATATATACCACAAAATATCGGTGCAGTTTTCAATAATTTAGACAATAAAGGGTTGAATAAGCACAAATTAAAACACTGGTATTTATCAGGTATCATTCATTTTGAAAACAAATGCTCCACCTGGACAAATTTTTGGCGTTTTCACTACTTTTTGCCACCGTGCTCCTGAATGAGATGAAAGCTTTCTCAAACCGTCACACAGTCACAGAGCGAGCTGCAGTTCGACTCCCTTTGTGTTCAGTGTGACATGTTGCCAAGAAATGGTCTTTGCATGCAGGTCTCCGATGTCTTGAGCATTATGTTCAGGCATAACACAATACGTGCTTTGCCTGTAAGAGATTACGAGTCCAGTTTAAAATATTAATCTTTTAAAATGTTTTCAGAGAAAAATATATTAGGTTAGGGTTACCAAGCAAATCTGGCACTGCCACATAAATAAACTGTGCAAATCTGTTAGAAAAAACAATATTAATCTCTCTTATTATTAAGTAGAAAATTCAGTTGCTTTTCAAAACACTGAACATGGACCCAATTTAAAACCAGTAACAGTTTGATATTTCTTAGAAGAATGTATGGGGTCCGTTTGTTGGCTCATGAAATTCTGCCTAATCAGCTTTTTCCCAGATGGAACAGCAATTGGACAGAAATACAGGAGCACCTATACTGATCCCCAGAAGTCCTTTGGATTTTACCAGGCTACTCTTGACTCCTTTTATATATTTAATACTATTAATATGAATCATAATAGAATAGTTACTTTTGCTATACCCTGCCCCTTTGGAAGAGCCAGTTGTGCGTTTTTGCCATTTGGGCTCACCTGTGAACTGTGTGATCACTCACGGGGAGAGTGGGGGCCCACAGCAGAGGACCGGCGCTGATTGGAATAGAGGCGCGTCCTTCACTGACAGCACTGCATGCCTGCAGGTCCTCGGGAGGCCACAGGGGGCGCTGTGTCACTGAGAGCTGACCCCACCCTACCCTTGGCAGCACACAGTTCCGCTGCTGCTTGGGGGATCCTGGTCCCAGTCGGTGGGTGACACGACCTAGACCTGAATCTGTGTTCATGGGTCAATCTATGCTTAGCCAAACACCATTAGGGCATTAGGCATGTGTGAGTTGCAGTCAATCAAATTTCCCAACTGCAACCACCTGATCGGGTTTTCAGGTACAAGGGCTTGGTGTCATGTGCACAACTAATCCAAACTATAGATGAAATGGGAACTTCTCATAAATCTGCACAATATGGTGTGGGAGTCTAAGGGAATTCATTACAGTTTCAAGAAAATATTAAGGTATCCCCTGTCTTTGGCAGGAACACACTTTACTCCATGCAAATGAACATGCCATCCGAGGACCGCAGGGTTCCTTAAAAAATAAACCTCTGATCGAATCAAGCATTGGCACGGCTGTTGGCTGTTTTAGATCCTCTTTAATGGCGTATGATCTCTTGGATTTAGAATCACGGACGTTCCTCCAAAATGGGGAATGACTTTCCAAAGGCCTACGAAGTCACAAGCTCACACCTGAGTCAAAGCTACACACCCAAACCGCTTTCCAAACCCTGGCGAGGTGGAGCTCCAGGTCTCCGCCCTTCAAAGCAGCTCAGGTCTCATGGAATGATCTCGTAGACCCTGCCCAGGCGCCCCAGCCATTCGCGGACGGCCTGGCGGACTCGGGCGTCAGTCACGTGGCAGGTGAGCTGGCTGACGCACGGGAAGACCGCAGGCTGCAGGGCCGTGAACGTGGGGTCCGGCAGGAGCTGGATCTGGTTGAGAATGGTCAACACCATGTTGGTCCACGCCTAGGGCAGAAACACAGGTAAACTCCAGCTGCCAACCGCGCCACCCTGGACAGACTCGGAAACTCTCCTGCACGTTAAAGGACATTTCAGGAAGAGGCTGGATCATGTTTAGACCACACAGCGATGCAGCCGCTGCTGTTCAAAGTGCATAATCAGTGCAGGAAGTTTTGATGACATCTTTATGGTACAATGAGAAGATTCAAGGTAATGTTCAATCTTAAATATCTTTCCCGAAAAAAATAACAGTGGTAAATCCTGTGCCTACCCATCCATCTATCCTATACAGAGTATTGAAATAAATTTAGAAATTTACAGTATATTAATATTCTGTTTCGCCAGCACTGACCCCTCCACGCCTCCACACTCACGTGCACACAGGGTACCTGTATCTGCACCTCGGAGTCGCGCAGGGAGATGTTGTGAGAGCCGGCGGTGGACCCTGAGCGGGGACGCTTGTCCTGCCTCAGAACCTCGGGCCCGGCGCTGAAGGAGTGCCTCATTGGACCCTGGTCCACCAGCTGCTGGGGCCTCTGTGGGATGGGGGAGTCGGGGCCCCGCAGCGTGACGGGCTCCCCCTTCTTGTCGCATTTGGACTCCTTCACGAAGGTGGTCAGGTTGTGCTGCTGCTTCCTCTTCTTGTACTCGATCATCAGCTTGGTGATGGTCTTATCGGTGGCGATGGTGTACAGCTTGTTTCCGGCGCTCTCCCACCACTCCCTCTTCTTGCTGGGGTCCCTCCGGTCCCCCTTCAAGGGCGGCAGGCAGCCGGCACTCTGCCCGATGCTCGGGGTCTCGTCGGAGGGCGTCTCGGCCGCATGGCACCGGAACCCGTCTTCTGACGGGGTACCCTTGCCCGAGACGCCCCCCGTGGAAGGCGTCGAGGTCTCAGAAGGGAAGAGTGGGAGGAAGAAGAGGGGGTCCCCCTTGAGCACAGGGGGCTCGTCGCTGTTGCACTCCAGATCCAAGTGCATCTGGATGTAGTTGTTGCAGAGGTCCATGCAGAGCTTGTGCAGACGCTTGACCAGCCAGGCCCAGTCCACGCTGCTCACAGGCTGGCTGCTAAGGGAGGGGATCTTGGCCCTCCACTGCCTCTTCTCCTTGCCCCGCGGGGGGCTGACCTGGGCTGTCTCCTCAAATATGTCTTCATCCTCCGAGGAGCACTGCTGGGAGGAGTCCGAGCTACCCTCCTCTTCCTCGTAGAGGATCTTCTTCACCTGCTCTGCGGTGATGTTCTCCTGATTGGTCAAAATGGCACAGACCAAGGCCTGGAAGTAGATGTTGAAGCTCATGGCAGACTGCCGGTACAAGTTGGCTGCACCACAGACACCAGACACTTTCATCAGCAGGTACTTCAGCCCCGGCCTGGTGTCGAAGTCGCGCGCAGTCCGGTAGGAGTCCAGCAGCAGGTCAAAGATGATGGCCAAGTTCTGCATGGAAATGTAACGCAGGAAGCCAGCTGGCTTGGGCTCTGACACGGGGGTGGCCTTCTCCTGATTGTCCGGCTGGGCAGAGCCCTTCACAGACTCCTCCAGCAGGATGTCATAGAGATTCTGAAGCAGCACTTGATGGGACAACAGGCTCACCACGATGGTGCGGAATGGGATCCTGCACAGAAAATGGTTTTTCTTTTTCAAATAAAGACAATTTGTGATTTCACTTCATATCACAGCGTGATTCTGTGCATCAAGTCAACCAGTGGTGACTAACAACAGCTAATCTAAGCAAGCAAACATCAATATCCAACATGTTCCACAGTCGACCTTTCAAAGAATAAAATCTTATATTTGTTTTTCTTCACTACGCCAAAGTGTGCTTCTTGAATATCATTCTGTTAAAGTAGTTTTAAAAAGCAAAACACTCTTTGTATGGAAACATCAGCACTGACTCAGGAGATATTAGCCGTCATGTAAAAGAAGCAGAAATAAGATCTAGATGAAGGATTAGGATTCTCGGATTATCCTTGACCACGGATTTGACAGCGTTGAATGTATTTTGATGCACATGTGAGCATATTTGTCTGACATGAACAAAGATGCAAGAGATGTTTCTTAAGCTAAGACATGATGAAGCAGAGATTATACATACTGGCTCCCCACAGCACCTACGCAAAGCACAGTGAGTGACCTCAGTGCTGGTGTAAATGGTGTTGAAATGCAACCCTGGATGGAAATTAAAAACCATGCTGCTGCGTTTGAATCTTTTTTCCATCTTCCTAACATTTCCAGGTTAGCAGAAATTGTTGCATAGATCGTTATTTCATCACGATCAGGCTACTATAACATCTTGGTTACTGAGGTACCGTTACTAAACAGACTTGAGAACAGTCTCTCCCTTAATCTGGGATCTGCTAATCAAACCTTCACACCTGGCCTAACACAAGGCTCCACACAGTGGGCAGCAACAAGACCTTTGGGGTTTTCCTCTATTTACTTGTTTTGGTTTATTTCAAAGAATACATGCTTCCCCAAGTACAATATTCAAAACGTGCTGATTACAGTCATTTCTTGAGTTTTGCCTTTTTTTGGGTCTGTATGGTATCAGGCCTCACACTTCCAGATGAGTCACACACAACAGCCTGGTTTTCTGTGTAGGGAGAGATTTCAAACTCATGCTCGATCAAAATGGCTAAAAATCACATTTTTGTGGTCCCAGCTGATCCTTATTTTTAATCCTGGTAAAGATACTGTATATACAAGATGCCCCGGAAAAACAAATTCAAATCAGAGACCTTACCCCACTTTCCTGTTGTATGTTCCGCATGATTGGAAAAAAACAACAACACAACAAATGGTGAAATATTGCGTCGTGAAGGATAAAACAACTGTCGTCCTATACAACTAACCTTGAGCTACAGATGTCAAGACAGAGTGGTGTAAAAATCCAGTATTTTAAAACACGGATTAAAGGCGATGTGCTCAGTATCTTTATTAAACGCTCCTATGACCTCTTGCATAATGGCAGGAGGTGGCAGCAGTTTCTCCCGCAGCGAAATGATTAACTAGTTTCTCACAGCAAAACTGGAACAGATTCTCCTCTGGGAATTATAAAAAGGAAATGAAAATCTCACAAGATGGAGATAGCCCAGCCTTGAACCACTGAGAGAGCACTTCGCAGAAGAGAACACGCGGCCCCCCGCAGTGCCCTGCAGCCCCCCCACCTGCGTGTGTGCGCTCACCTCTTCTGCGTGTGCCCGTTGGACTGCTGATCTGGGGGCAGCTCGATGATGAGCACGCAGGACTGGGCATGCTCAAATCCCTCCTTGTTGTTGGGAGTTTTTGGGGAACACTGTGTATCCAGCATGAAGACCTACTCAGCGAGATAAGGAGAAAGCATGGTGAGAACACAGACCCCACACACGCAGTGCACATGCAGGGAAATGATATCATCACTTAATTAACGCCCGTATCTATCTATGTTCTCTGAAATATTAACTGTTACTGTGCAACTTGAAACTCTGGCCAATAACCCATGACAACCTCTCCAGACACCCTCACT